TGTGTGTGTGTGTGTGTGTGTGTTTATGAGTGTGTGTGTGTTGTAGATACATAGATATATACACAGAAATAATATATCCTGTAAATTCCTGTATATAGCTTGTTTGTACATAGTCATATTCATAATGTCTCCTCTATTAGCCTGTGAGTTCCTTGAGATTAGGTACCGGCTTTTGACTTTCCATCTCTCCTCAATACTTAGCACAGTGCCTAGCACATAGTAGGCATTTAATAAATGCTTATTTACTAAGTCTATACTCCTACTTTGCCCACATGGTAGAACATGTTTGTTAATATTTTTTTCCTCATAAACATGACCACTTTTCCTCTCATTCAGCTCCTGCAACAATGCAGGCAAGGAAACCGAAGCCACCTGGAAGAGGTTGGATCCAATCACAGAAGGTAAGAAGGTGATTGGATAGGCTTACGTGGCATGAGCTTCAAGACCAAGGCAACTCCAACACAGATGATAAAATGTTAGAGCTGAAAAAGAGCTTAGAGATCATTTTCTACTCCTCCCAGATTTTCATGGAGTAATTGAGATAGCATCTTTAAACTATTTTCTTAAGTACTTTCTTCCTTTTCTGAATAAAATATATAGAAATTCCTTCTAAAGTCTCTTCAATTTTCAGATTAATGGAAATCTTTCTATCTTTTGATTGTTAGGTTTCACACTTGAATTAAGAGTTCTTTGGGGCATACTTTTCCTTTTGTTCATTAGAATCCAGCAATTATGAGGAACACAATTGTCACATGCTGTGGTAGGTGCTACCTAAAAAGAAACAGTCACATGCCTGTCTTATAGTAATGTTTCATTTATAACAGGGGGAGACGTCACATAGATAGTGCTTTTTGGTTTCATACATTAGAATCCTAGGATTTCAAAGTTGGAAAGGAGTTTAGAAATCACATAGCCCAATCCGTAACAGAACACAAATCCCTCCTGTAGAATCATTAATGAGTGGGCAGATCACTTCCTCTTATTTTACTGGATTCTAACAAAAATCTGGTTCAATGGGGAGCACAGGAATTACAGTAATCATTTCACAGATGAGGAAATAGAGGCTCAAAAAACTTAAGTGATTTTAGTCACTTAAGGTCACACAGTATCCAGAAGAAATGGAACCTAAATCCAGGTCTTCTGACTCCAAGTCCAGTACCTGTGGCACTGCAGCAAACTACTTTGTAAGAAGATAATGCTAATAATAATTTAATTATTGGATTAGGCAATGTTGAGGTGGGTATATAGCCAGAAAAGCAAAAAATTATAGTTGGAAGAGACTACAAGAGGCCTAGTTTAATCTATACCTGAACAAGAAGTCCTTCTGAAACATCTTTGATAAGAAGCTACTATCAGACTTCCATTGAAGAGAAATCCACTAGTATTAAAGAAGGGACATATTCAAGTTTTGAATAACTCTCATTCTTACATTGAGCTTAAAGCTTCCTTTTTGAAGTTTCCACCCATTACTCCTAATTTACCCACTTTGTGGCCAAAGTACAGTCCTTCTACAGAGGATGATAGGATCATAAATTTAGATAGCCCTTCAACATTCACTGTCCTCTCTTCTCCTCTCCTCTCTCCTCTCTTCTTCTCTTAGCTAAGCATCCTAAATTGCTTCAATCAATACTTGTGTGGCATCACCCTCTTACCATCCTATTCCTCCTCCTCTGGACGTAGTCTAGGTGGTCAAAGTGCTTCTTAAAATGCATTTTCCAGACTGAACACAATGCTTCATAATGGAGTAGAAAAGAACTCACCTCTTACTTCCCACCACTAAGCTTTTATATGCAGCCTGAAATTTTATTACCTTTTGTGGCTATCATTTCACACTATTGACTCATCTTGAGGCACTAAAATCCAAAGATGTTTTTTTCATATGAACTATTATCTAATCATGTCTCCTTCATCTTATATTTATGAATTTGATATTTTAAACTAACATATAAGAATTTACATTTACTTATTAAATTTCATCTTATTCATTCAGTCCATCATTCTAGCCTCTTCATGTCTTTTTGGATATCAACTGTCATTCAACATAGCTTCATGTAATTTGCAAATATGTCTTTTTAAAAATACCATTTGTGGCTCTCCAAGTCACAAAAAAATATAAGTAGGATAAAGTCAATGATGGATCCCTGGGGACACTCTAGGAGAGATCTCTTGCACTATCTGCCCTCTTTCTCTTGCCTAGATAGAATCCTTTATTACTTGAAGACACAGCTGAAGCATCATATGAAAGGATTCATGATCCTACAACTTCTAGTGATCTCCTTCTCAAACTACCTTGTAAAGAACTACTTTGTATTTATTGTTTTTATTTTGTATACATTTTATATGTGTGTGTTGTCTCCATTGTTCGAATATAAATACCTTGTGAGTAGAGATTACTTCGTTTGTTGTACTTGTATCTCTAGTTCCTAGTGCAGAGCATGGTACATAGTAGGCACTTAAGGGATGCTTGTCAGCTGATTGGTTGATCTCTCTCCATGTTGACACTGAACAATCGATGCCTTCTCTTTGGGACTCAGCCAGTGCCCAAATTTGCCTAGATGTTGTCTAGCCCACATTTCTCAATCTTGTCCACAAGGACAGGACAAGAAACTTTCTTGATTCTTTATTGAAATATGGATACTTTATGCCTATAGCATCCTCCTGATCAACTCATCTAGTTACCTTGTCAAAAGGAGGAACAAGCTATTCTGGCAAAATTCCCTTTTCCCTTGATATTTGATGGACATGAGATTCACAGTCCTCTGTAGTTTGCACTGTCAGCTCTCATGGCTAACTCTTACGAGAAACTGATATGGAAAACTGCTTGTCTCCCTTCCTGTTCACTGTATTCGGGGCTCAGCTAATGGGGGCTCCTGAGTATTTCTTAATGTATTTATTTCAGGCTTGCTGGCTTTTCTCATATCATTGTCACTCAGATGCCTTTGTTGGCAATTAGTGGATTCTCTCCAACTTCTAGTGCAAACAGAAGCTGCCCTTGGCTGTCCTTTGTGTGGGTTCTCAAGCAGAAATACAATTATAGAAATTCTTATTTAATTAACATAACTATCTCTTTTTTCTCTCCTCTTCCTACTTTTAAACTTTAGATGCGACCTTTTGTTTCCTTGACCATAGACTTTGAAGAGAGAGAATATAGTAAAAGCATTAAACCTAGAAATAACTTAGCAGGAAGTTAAATACAGATCAAGGATAGACATACTGTGAGACAGGAGAAAATGTATACATGCACACACTTGTGAGTTGTATATCCAGTTTTGGTGGTCAGCATCAAAATTTCTGATCAGTCAGGGAAGGCCTTATAGAGAACAAAGATAACAATGCTAAGGATAATCAATAAAATACAAATATATTAGATGATGGCTTGATAGATAAAGCATTTATTAAGTTCTTAGTATGTGCAAGCTACCATACTAAATACTGAGAATCCAAATAAAAACAAAAGAAAAAACAGTTCCTATCCTCCTAGAACTTACATTCTAGTGTGAGAAGACAATACATAAAGAAGAGCTGAAAGGCAGGAAGGCTAGAGAAGCCAAGAGAGGAGCAGAGGACCTAGTATGGTACAGGAACTCACTATTTGGAAGAGGGAGACACAGGGCAGAGGGATAAGAAGTCTGAAGGGGTGGAAGCAACTTCTAGGGTGCATAGGCTCTGGGAAATGGTAGAGATTAGAGCATTAGAAGTTAATCCAGAAAAGTAATAAAGGTGAGTTGTCATCGAAAAAATAAAGATCCTTTAAAAAGCAAAACACTTTAAAAAGTGATTGAAAGTGCAATTGAAAATGCAAAGGCAACATGGGAGTTACCATCATGTATGTGGGCTGTTACTAGATTTGAGTACAAGCATAGAATACTCTCTGGAGGCTAAAAGAGATGGGAACTGTCTTATCTAAACCTTAAATTCACCAATTCTTTGATCCAGCCAGGGTCACTCATTTTAAACAGAAGCAATTAGTTTTACTGAAATCAAATAATGGAGTAGATAGAATGGTCATGGGAGCTTCTCTTCCAGGGAATATATTTCTTTTCATTCACTGACATCAGGAACTTTTATCAGTTGAAGCACAGAATCTGAAAGCTAATGCTAGCAACAAATCATAAAGTTTATTGAACTCGGGAAAGACTCCAAATCAGTTCTTTCAGAGTTTGTGCCTTCCCAAGGCATGCTGGGACATATCGGTCTAAACTCCATTCCCAAATATACCAATGACTTTCCAGGTTGAAAGTAAGGATTAAATTGTAAGGGAAAGGGAGAAAAGGTGGGTGAGGAAGCCCAGGTACCCTAAAAATGAAAATAACTAAATTTTTGGCCATCTTCAACCTAAAATCCTCTAGTCCAGTCTAGTTCTGGGCTTCCAAGACCACCCTGGGATAACAGCAGGCACTTAGTAAATGCCAATTGATCAACAGATTATGCTAATGTACAGATTATCACAATGTAAGGTCTATGTGAGGGTGAAGTTTTAATTTAGTTCTATCTTTCCGTATTCTAATAATTTTAATAGTATATCCAGAGGCTTAGATAAGCTAGCTAGACTTTATTTTAAGAGCTTGGAGTTTAGAGCTATCAGAGGAACTCTAGCTTTGCATTTCAGTCTCCAGGCATTTTCTCCAGGCATTCTCAGGGTGGGGAGTGGGCTACTCTTAGAGAAGACCACAATGGAACCCCATGACTGTCTTGTACTCCTTGGGGGCCTCCCTGCCCTAGTCAGAGATGTAAATAACACTTCTGGCTTCTCTGGTAAGCACAATTGGGTAGGGGAACATCCTTAAATCCTGTATACAAAACAACATTGGAGGAGAAATTCTACCCAGAAGAGGGTGGGAAGTTACTGGGGAATACCACTGTGATAGTTACTGGAAAATCTATCACTAGGGGATAGAGTGGAGTGGAGGCAGGCTGGGGAGGAGCTCGTCTGGGATGCAGATACTACAGGGATGAACTACATCACTCCCTGTGTGTTGCTTACTGTTTTAACCAATTATTCTTGATAACTAGGTTCTAAAATCAGCTATTTCTAAATTTGCTAAAGAATTCAAAAACCAAATACTAAGTTCAAATACTGAATTTTAGTATCCTAAGGCAAATCCTAAATTGCCTTGCCCTAGTTGTGGTTCATAGAGCCAATAGACCTAGTGAACTTGGCTATCAATATTATTGAGGCAGCTAGGTGGTATAGTGGCTAGAGTGCTGGGCTTGGAGTCAGGAAGACCTGAGTTCAAATGTAACCTCAGACACACTCACTGTGACCCTGAGCAAGTCACTTAACCTCTGTCTGCCTTAATCCACTGGAAAAGGAAATGGCAAACCACTCCAGTATCTTTGCCAAGAAAACCCCACGTGGGGGAATGAAGAGTCAGATGTGACTAAACAACAATAGCATTGTGACT